ACTCTATGTCTGAATCTTTCATAACCAGGTCAGAAGTGTTAGAGAGGGCAACTGAATATGCTGATGCCATTAATGTGGGTGATGTCCTAGAGGGACAAATCATAATGAACCAAGCTGACATTAATTCCTATCCATTGGCCTGGAATGTTCCTCCAACTGGATCAACTTTTTCAGGTAGTACCAAAGATGGTGAAGTTGATTCATTTTTCTCTATGAGTAGAGATACTCCTGACAATTATAAGGCTAAGACTGACAAAATGTATTCCAAATCTGAAAAAGCGATGATGAAAGCCTTTTCCCCTAGAGAAGATTCTCAAAATAGTGTCTACAAGAGAAGAAAAATAGCTGTTTTCAATCAAGAAGATCCAGTTACTAAACTGGAACTAAGTCATTTTACAGATACATTAGTTTTCATCCCACCTACAGGGAAAATCCTTTCATCAACATCTGAGTCTAATCCTCTCTCCGAGGGTGACAACAATATGAACAATTATTTCACTGTTAAATTTGATACTAGTTCCTTCAGACCTCAAATACCTTCCAATTTAAAAAGGATCTTTTTAGCTGATTCCACATTAACTCTTCCAAAAACATCTAAGCCTGCCTCTCACGATGAAGTCACTAATATAGGAGGGTCCATCACAAACACTCCAACTGGTTTTAATGGCCTACAAGGGAGGTTAATTTTTATTCCTTCTGATTTCAATACATCCATGGGAACTTCAAAACATTCTGTACTTTTTCCTGTTTCTATTATGGGAAAAGATACCACAAAAAAGATTGATTATAATATTCCACTTGAGAAAATAATTATTCTATCTGATAAAGTTATCCTTTCACCTATTATCATTTTCTCTGAAAAAGACATGGCAAGTACTTTTAAAAGGAGTATATGTGACCACAAATATCTAAGAGAAAGAAAGACAGTTGCTGAATAGGAAATCATTTATTTTACAGAAGACATTTCAGAAAGGGTAGATGACAATTATTCTGCAGGTGAAATCACCCCAGTATATGCGGACTATATAATTATTATGTCTGACAACAGTGGTTCTGAATAGATCTCAGATAAGCAAGACTTTGAATTAGAGAACAGATCAAATAATTCCTTTTTTAAATGAAAGTATTTTTATATGCCTCTAAGAACATGTGTGTCTCATGCACAATATGCCACAGTTTCTGCTTCAGACAATCTATCTAAAAAGGCACCCCCAAACTTTAAAGTTAAAGAAAATTGCCAAGATGTGATTCCTAGGCAGGAAAACAAGAATTCTGACACCAATGCTATTGCTCTCAATTTTTTTGATGCTAATGCCAATGCCCGAACACAGATCCCAACTCACTTCCTAGTTGATGCCAGTAATGATTTTCCTTCTAGTTTTTCTGACAAAATATCTGTGGGGGAAAAAGCACCATAATGACAACAGAATTCTCTCTGAAGTCCTTGACTTAGGAAATAAAGTAATTGAGTATTCCCTTTTTGAAGACACAAAACCCATAGTTGATAGCAGGATATTAATTATACTTTTAAAAAACAGTGATAATATCCCCAGGAAAAATATATCACATACCATTTATAAGACATTTATACCCAGGAGAGTAAACACTACCATATCTAGTATATCTGATTTTACTAAAGATAAAACATGTATAGCTGCAGTAAATTTTTGTTTAGCTCAGCTTTCCAGTGATGACATCTCAATGTGAGTGAAAACACAGAAAGTGCAATCAACACAACTCTTACTTTCTTTTATCCTTTGAAAAAGATGTCTGCCAATATGTCAAATGCTCCTGTCATCTCCACTAAGAACAAAAATAACGTTGGCCATTATAGCCTTCCATCATCAGAGAGTGTCATGCCTCTAAGACATATCTATGGAACTACTTCAAACTCTTGTCCTAACTTCTAGTGCCCCTAGTAAAGAAACTGCAGCCCCAGACTTGTAAAAGGTACAAACCTATATTACCCAACAGTATTAATATTAGCAGCATCAAAGCCTGTGCCTACAGACTCACCTTACTTCAGTGAAGGAATTGTCTCAGAAGGGCAAAGTACTAAAAGTCAAAAGGGTCAAAGGCTCTCTGCCTTAGTCTATACTGTTTCCCAAGCTGATTCCATTTGTTCTTCAGACAATGTGGCCAATGTCAAACTTAAAACATCGGCTACTGTTGTCACCAAGAACAATTTTTTTTTATATTGATGCCTCTGGTAATCAAAATTTAGAACCCAAGGAAAGAACCATGAAGTTCTCTACACTTTTTCCTAATGAATATAGTAAACCAAATTTGTATTACACAAAGGAAATGACCAAAGCCTCTACAGTCAAAAACATAGCTACTGAATTCGAAATGAATCACCTTACAGATGTAAATGTAATAATAATGTTATCCAGGTAGAAACAAACTCTCCAAAAGATGTTGTCCTAAAGCCATATCTTGTAAAGAGAAATGCCATTGCTGATAATAAATCAATCAATAAAAATTATAACAGTGTCTTGTAACAGTTTATTCAACCTTTCACATACACAAGGATTCCCTCCCAGATGGATCTGTTCAGCCACTTTATGGCTGGAAACTCAAACTTGCTTAAAGAAGTAATCACCATTATTCCTACTGATGAAAAAGACTTCATCTTACATGGAGCTCATTTCTGTAGTAGAAGGAAATTCTTTGAAATTTAATGTAGCCAATCTCAGAGCAATAGATACCGAATTTCAAACTTCAGAAAGCACAAATGCTCCACATGAGTCCATTGTTGAGATAAAAAAAAATTACCAAGGTTTCAATAAATTTCTTTCATACCATAAGCTAGCAGGAGGCTGAAGTCAGCCCATTCTTTAGGCCGGTATTCCTCAGTCACAGATAGAAAGAGTTACACCAAAGGATATCCCTGAGGAGCTTACCAACCACAAAGCAGGCATGAAGGTCATGACAGACCTGGCCATAAATGCCATCTTCCCTGAAAACAAAGAAGTCCTGACCCCAAAGGCCAACACATTCTTCAATGACAATCTCCTTACCCATGTACCCAGTATCCCAATCACCGAAGGGGAAGAAGACAAAAATGGGGATGTTGGTAGAACCATTTCTCAAACTGCAATTGCTCCTCTTACTTCCTTGGCTGTTTCTGAAGGTGGGAATTCTTTTGTGAATAAAGATACCAAACCTGAAACTTCCTCAGCAACTGCATTCCACTAGCAATCACAATCACTTCAATGAATGTTAATAACTGTTTTCTTCAATAAATTTGCAAAATCCAAAGCTATATAGACTCTTTCTAAAATAAGAATTCCAGTGTCCATAGGAGAAGATGATATCATTTCAACTGACACTTGTAAGCTGGGATTAAGTGCTCAAAAGATGAATGTTTTATTCCTTATTCTAGTTCTATTCAACATAAATATCAAGTATTCCAAGGTAACTTCTGGCAGCTATACATACAGCTAACACCTCCATCTTTTTCTCTTTTGTACAGAGAAAAATATTCCCTCTATAGGACAACAAGTCTTCTTTTCACATCATGCCTTATCCTGAAGTAAGATTTATAAACATGAGATGAGAAAAAAAAAATAGAAGTTAAAGAACCTGCCATTAAGTTAGTTGACCCAGATAATGCCTTTATTTTGAGATTTTCTTTACTACAGCCAGAACTAACAGTATTTCTATTTAGCAATAAAGAATCTGTGCCTATCATTAACTGGAGACCTCCCTATCCTGATGCTGACATCATTTCCTATATCAATAAAGATATTGGAGCCCTCAATAGTGACATCCCCTTGAAGCAAAAATATTTCTGGAGAAGTTGCCCATATCTTTAAAATGAAAAATGTCTATATTAAAATCTATCTGATATTACTACAGAGACTGGTAATATAGCTATAGGTGACCAATAACTAAGAGAAGACACTGTACATTTTGAGGCTGAGTTCATATCTAAGAAGAAAAAGCATTTGCCTTTGAGACGCAAAATCCACTACTCTCGGCTGATGTTGCTGTCCTTTTTCAGATTTAGTTGTGTCCAAGTCTAAAAACTCTCTATTCTAATGACACTGGGGGGAAAAATAACACTAGACTACAATCTCCTTTCATCTAATTAGCTAAACAGTAAGGATGATAGTGAAACAAAATGATAATGACTGATATAACTAACATCATTAGAGAAAACCCTCCCTCTGAAATTGAGGATATAACTCCCAAGGCCAATACACTCATTCCAAATACTGATCTGTTTCTGGGTGATTTTTTACATACAATGCCAACTCTCTGCCAGAAAATTCTTTTGGGGTTGAAATAACACGCTAAAGAGAAACATTCCTAAAGAAATTAAAACTACAAACCCTGACATTCTCTCTGTTATTCAAGAAAAAGTAAGAATTACAATGAAAAAAAATCTTATTTTTTATTATCCCTACTGTAAAAGTGAGAATTCCCTCTCTGAAGAAGAGAACTGAAATTTCACTACCTAATTACCTCTGCACTTCACTCACTGCTAAACTGCCATTAATTTTTTAGACATTTAAATACATAAATCGCAAGAGAAGATGCTTCACCTCAAAAGACCCTTTTACTTACTTGAAAGAAAGGCAACTTGAAGCTCATGCTGACAATCTTGGGACTCCCAGAGTTGCCCCCATTTGATGCTAAACCCACAAAATACCTGGCAGACTCTGCGATGTCTGTTTCAAGTGACATTAACTCCGCATTGGAAGGCACACCCTTTCTAAGGGAAACTGTGAGTTCCTTGCTATTGAAATACTGGGCTGTGAACAAGGATTCCATAATCAGAGAGGACTCTGTCTTTTTATCTAATATCAATACTAGGTGCCCAATCAGAGCACAAAAACAACCTCCAAGGGAAGCCAGTGCCATTGGCCCTGTGGTTGATGCAACAATCCCTGTGATGACCAATGCTTCAGTCACTATAGTGAATACCACTCTCCTGCCTAGGGATACCTCTGGGCCCAGAGAAAGACCTGTGAGTGTGCATGTCACTTTGTCCCATGGCTGAAGATGGTTTGCCAAAAATTTATTCTCACCCTCCAACAGAAAGCAGTAAAACAGCTGAAGCAACCATTCTCTTTGGGACTGACAACACTATATCTAAATCAGAAACAACTATTACTTCAGAAGGAGACCACATTACTTCAGTAAGTGACTATCTGCTTGAATGTGATTTTTCAACGATAGACAACAACCTTCCATCTCCAAAGGAAAGACTAAATTCAGAAGATGATACAAAGCCCCATATTATTAAGTCATCAGACCAACTGGAAAAAGAAATTACCACTCTGACCGATGCTACAAACTCCATGGTTTATGACTCTATTACTGAAGATTTCCTTCCAGTGAAAATTAGTAATCTCTCATCACCAGTCACTTCTGTTTCTTTAATAGATTTTTCCACTGATTTGGCAAAAGAAGATATTCTCTTGGATACCATCGACCCAGGAGATAAAGATGTCTCTGGCTCACTAAAGAAAAGCACTGCCAGTGTTACTGGCACTCCAGCCCTTCCAGATAAGAAGGAAGAACCTGATAACAATTATAGCTCCGCAGTTAAATCCAACACCAGTCCTGATGAGGCTTTCCAGATCACTGACTCCTCTATTCCTGAGACTGAAATCTCTCCCCCTGCTGAAAAAACCTTCACCACTGTTCCAGACATAACTGCCCTTACAGAAGAGCAAATAGCTAAAATTGACTTAGTTCTTCCAGAAAATGACCCCAGTGCTGTGTCTAAACTGACTGACTCTGATGAGGAAAAGTTCATCACTGTGTTTGAACTTACTACCACTGCCAAAAGAGGCAAAGATAATCCAGAAGATATTCTGCTAACTGATGAAGAGTCTGTGGGTGGAGTTGATATTTGGGTGGAGAGAGGTTTTACCAATGAGGTAGAGAACCCTCCTGTTTTGCTTACTGCTATTGAATCCAGATATGACTTCGTTGTTTCTAAACCAGTAGCTATGAACCTCATGGAAGATTCATCTCCTACAGCAAAAGAAGATTTGACTGAAAATAATAGAATGGAATCTGTAACTAAGGCTACTGAGGAATCTTCCAAAACCACCCCTGATCCAGATGACCCAAGCCAAAAAGAAAACACTTTTACAACTGATATGGGTGTCTTTAAACTACTGAAAGAAGAACCAGATGAGTTCCTGATTTGAAAGCAATAGCCTAGACAGCCAGTTTAAATTTAAGAAGTTTGTCCAGCAAGCTAAAATCTTAATGAAAACAAGAATGTGGGCATTTAAGGCAAGTATTGGACTTAGAAAGTGCAGACGCTTAGGAATAGAGGTGATGCAGCAAAATATGTTTTTGGAAACTTGCAAAACTCGGCAGTACAAGAGTTCCCCTAGTATCACAAAGTTTAATTGAGTTATCCAATAATTAATTATTTTAATATAAAATCTTTAATCCTGGCCTTCAGGGGTATGAAGAAAGAGCAATGAAGAAAGCTCACTTTCTGCTTCATTTAATGATTTATGTCATTTTAGTTACTCCTCAATTGCATAATTTACTGTGACTTAGAGATGAAGAGAGTAGTATTAAAAGATCAAAAATGCCTATTCTAAACAGATTTTTTCATTAGTATGCAACCAATGATTGCTGTTTATTAAAAATAATAACAAAAATCTTCACTCATCTAAGAACTGAGGCTCTTCAGTAACTGTTTTGTACCCACGTGTAAGAAACATAACTATTGAAGGTTTCTAGAGTCTTGCTGTATGCAAATTACAGAAAAATGATATTTTGCAAATACGTACACTTGTCAAAAATACTATTGTATATAAATGTAGGAATCAATTTAATTTTCTTTCTTTAAAATGTCTTCCCTGAATTTTGTCAATTTTTTTCAGGTCTTACGCACTGATAGCACATTCTTCTCATGCTTTGGTTAGCAATTCAAGGACACATATCTTCACCCTTTTCTGACATAGACTTCTGAAAGTCTGTTTTCACTTTGCTAATTCTTCAATAAATCTTGGCAGCAACTGATTTACTGTGTGTAGGTGTGTTTTATAGTCTAATACAGGATTCTCAAGTTAGGAGGGATGTAAGTAAGATGAAAATCTCCTGTTTGTTGAAAAAATAACCTAGCTTGGGACACCAAGAATAGAATTATTCTATACAGATTCATAATTTTATTGTATATTTAAAAAGCAAAATAAAAAATGCTGGGTAAATAGTAAATGGTAGATATGGGGTAGTTGGGAGAGGCAAGGATTTACACCATTAGGAAGACTATAAACTAGAATAATTATAATAGTATGTTACAATGCAGAAACATTTTAACAAAAATTTAGTTATATGGTAAAGTGGACTTCAGAACCATGGGATAATGTAGTTAATTAATCTTGCTTTGACAATTGAGTATTAGGGAGGGGGGGCATCAAGCTAGAGTGCTATTTAAAACCATACTCTAAAATAAATTTTATATGAATCAAAAGCTTAAAAATAAAGCATACAAAAAGTTAGAAGGAAACCTATGTGTATACTTATCCAAGTGGAGTTGAGAAATCTAAGCACATAAGAAATGACCAAAAATATTAATAGATTTGACATCACAGTTAAAATTCTATACAAAAGAAAATTTATATAAAATTAAAAATTAAATGATAACTAGGGGGAAATAATTTCGTTATACAGGGCAGGGAAGTTGTCTCTGAGAAAGTGAGATTTGAGCTCAAGATTGGAAAATGCAGAGCTGGGAACACAACATATCCAAAGCCCCAAGGTTAAAAATGGCTCCTGAGTCACAAGATAACTCTACTCATAGTTCCCTCTAATACAAGATACCTCTGTCCAAAGTTCCCCTCTGTCCTAATGTAACCTAGTGTAATGCTCTCAGCCCACACTGTATCCCTTACCCACAACTACTCCTATGTTGACACATAAAACTCTCTTCCTAACTTAAGGAATACCTGATGTCAATATGAAAGAGAGGGAGAGGGAAAGGGAGGGAAAGGGAGCAAGAGAGCGAGAGAGAGAGGAGAGAGGAGAGAGACTGAGTGAAGTTTCAAGACAAAAGGACTCAAGAACACAAAGACAGTGTGTGGTATATGGGCATTGCTTAATTCTTCTACCTATTGCACATTGAAATAAATGATACATGAATTAAAATTTGAGTCCGCAGTCCATTTCCACAACACTACTGGTATGTTCTTTTGGATTTCTCACATATACCCCAAAGATAACAGAAGTCTTAAATGAAATTGGCACCCCCTTCACTAAACTTTCTTCTTTTCTAGTATTTTCCATCTTAGCAAAAGATACCATCTGCACAGTTGTTCAAGCAGAAACTGGGATTCTTCCTTTACACTTTTCTCTCATTCCCTACACCCAATGAAAACAAAGTTTTCACCTATGGGCCCTCAGGAATCCACTTGCCTCCATTCCCACTGCCCCTTCTTTATCCCAACTTTTATCAAGCAAGAGTCACATTTTATAGCAAAAACTAACCATGCCACTCCCATCTCCATACTCAAAATTCTCAGTGACTGTACCAACTTTAGGATAAAGTACAAAATCTTCATATTTGTCAGATTCTCCACAGTGGGGACACTGCTTACCTATAAAGTCTTAGGATATGCTGCTTCTGGTCATTTTTCACTCTTAAATCCCAACTATATAGATCTTTGTGTGTGTGTTTTTAAAGTATCAAGCTGTCTTCTCTCAGGATCATTAAACGTGCTATACTCTCCCTGAGTCATCCCCCTAAATGTCACTTCCTCCAACCATGTAGTCCCCTGTATTGTCTGTCCCATCACAATGCCCCGGGGAACACAATATCTTGGTGTGTTTTTTTCAAAATTGTCTGTTGTGGGGGGTATGGAGGGATTGAGCCAAAAAGAGAGTGAACTCATATACATGGACAGCAGTGTGGTGACTGCAGGGGTGGGGGGTGGAGGCAGTAGAGGGCATAGAGGGGATAAAAGGTGATGGGAAAAATTAAATTAAATTAAATTTTTTTTTAATTTGTCTCTTATATTAATTTCCTAGGACTAAGTTAACAATTACTATAAACTAGATGGCTTAAAACAATATAAATTGATTCTCTTTATAGTTCTGAAAGATGTAAGTCTGAAATTACAGTGTCAGTAGGGCCTTGTGCTCTTTGAAGTTTTGAGGAGAAGTCTTTCCTGGCTTTGCTCTACCTTCTAGTGGTTGCTGACAATCCTTGACATTCTTTGGTTTATAGACTCATCACCAAAATCTCTGCCTCCCTCATCACATGATGTTCTCTTTGTGTGTCTCTGTGTGCAAATTGCTCTCAATTTATAAGGACACCAGTTATGGTACATGGCCTCTTAATCCAGTATGATTTCTTTTTAACTTGGGTATATTGGCAAAGACCCATATCTGAATAAGGTCACATTCACAGGTTCTGGGAGTTGGGACTCTAATATGTTTTGGGGGTGATGGAAAAGATATAACTCAACCCATAACATCTGTTGAATACTTATCTTCCCTACTATATTTTATGTTTGGATAGTTAAGAAGATCCCATAATTTATCATCAAAACCAGAACACTTTTCAGACTAAAAAGAGGCACTATTAATAACAACTCTAAAACAACAGGAATAAAATAGGATGGCCTGAGTAAACATAGCTAATCATTTCATTCCAAGGGAAGGGATCATATCCCCCTTGTCCACTGCTCAACCCTGAGAGCTTTGAACATAGCAGATATTCAATAAGCATGTTAAATGAATGAATAAATGAAACTGAATAATGATTTTATTTATTAGGCTACAAATGCTCTCAGAGGAAGGATGGTATAAACTGGATACGTAAAGATAAATATGAGTTTACCAGGACAAGAAGGGGATAACTGGTTTCAAGCAGAGGGAAGAGAAGGGGCAAAGACCCAGAACATAAAAGTACTTGGTGTGCTCAGTATTGCCATAAGGTTGGAGCACAATGGGTCTGAGAGACAGTAGCAACAGATATATCAAATTGTGACTGACACTATAACCTTACAAAAGCAAAAACCCAATTGTGTCCGACCATGTGTATTAGTCAGGATTCTCTGGGGGGAGGGAAGAAAGGGGGGTCAATGATATAGATGATACATAGATAGATGGATGATAGATAGATGATAGATAGATATAGATAGATGATATAGATATAGATAGATAGATGATAGATAGATAGATGATAGATAGATGATAGATATAGATAGATGATGATAGATGATAGATGATAGATAGATGATGATAGATAGATAGATAGATGATAGATAGATAGATAGATAGATAGATAGATAGATAGATAGATAGATGATAGATGATAGATAGATAGATAGATAGATAGATAGATAGATAGATAGATGATAGATAGATAGATGATAGATAGATAGATGATAGATAGAT